CTACCTTACCATAGGCCAATGCAGCTTTATTTATTAACCAATCAGAGCAACTTATATTTACAGCATACAGAAAGACATCCCACAGCAGCCCCGCCTATCCTTTCTCCTGCCTTGCCACTGGCTGTTCAGTTCTTTATTAGACCATCAGGTGTGTTAGACAGGCACAGTAACACAGCTTCACAGAGTTAAACAAATGCAACATAAACAAAAGTAACACACCTTAAGATAATATTCGCTACATGGATGGACTTAGAAATGTAAATTCCTTTGGAGACTTCTAATGTGTCCTAGTGGGTTTGTGGCCTTTTGTTTTCGTTTTTGTTTAATTCCATGAACTTTTAAACTCATTTCTTGATTTTTTTCCTCTGACCACTTCATAACTCAGTAATATGTTGTTTAATCTCCATGAGTTTTTAAGATTATTGAGGGATCTTTACTGTTGATCGTGGTTTTATTATGTCTTCAGATAGGATATATGTGTGGAGTTACTTCAATTTTTTGAATTCATTAAGATTGTGTGAGTGTAAGTGTGTGTGTGTGTGTGTGTGTGTGTGTGTGTGTGATTATAATTTACTCTCAGCTAATTGTTTCCTCAATTACAATGAACTGTCCTTTATCTCTTTTGATTAATCAAATTTTGAAATCTATTTTATTGGATAATTAGGATTGCAACACCTAATCTCATTTGCTTGGAATACTTTTTGTTAACTTCCTTTCTTTTTAAGGTGGTGGTTATCTTTGAAGGAAGAAGATAAGATGAATTGCTTGTGCACAAGTTAGGTGGAATTTGTTTCTTAATGAATTCAACCAATCTATTTTTTTTTGCTGAGGAATGGATGCCATTAATACTTAGAGATATTATTAAAAATTTTACATTGATTGCTGTAATTTTATTTTTTGCTGTTTACATTCTTAGTTATATTTTGTGTTTCAGTAATTATTACTTTCCTTGCTTTCTTCCCATAGTCTCAATGTTATACTTGTTCCTTTTTAGTTAAAATATGGCTTGCAGTATTCTCTGTAGGGCTGGAATAGTGAATTCTTTTAGCTTGTTTGTATAATAAAATGATTTTCATTCTACTTAAACTGTAGAAGGTAGTTTTGCTGGGTGCAGCAGTTTTGGTTGGAATTTATGATCCTTCACAACTTGGCATACATTTTATCATTCCCTTTTGGCTTTTAAAGTTTCCATTGAGAAATCAGCTGTTATTCTGAAAGTATTTCCTTTATGTTATTTTTGATTTTTTTCTTTCAGTTTTCAATAACCACTCTTTGTTCTATATATTTAATATTTTACTCACAATATGCTATGGAGAGTTTCATTTGTGCTCCTCCCTTTATGCACTTCTTCTATCTATGAGTATGCCTTCCTTAATTCAGTGACATTTTCTTCTATGAATTATTTGAAAATCAGGTCTATGCCCTTGCCTTGAGATTCTTCTCCTCAGTCTGCACCTACAATGTGATGGTTTGCTCTTCTCGTAGTGTCGCACAGTTCTTACATGCTCCTTTCTAGTTATTTTTAAAAGTCTTTTCATCATCTTGCTTGACTGGTCCAGTTCCTCTACATTTCCTTCATTCTTGACATTTTATCTTCTACTGGGTCCATTCTACTTGTAAGGGATTCCCCTGAGTTTTCTAATTGGTTATTGGAATTTTCAATTCTCTTTTCATTTCTGCTTGTGTTCTCATCAATAGTTTTAACTCTGTATAGAATTCAGTTTTCTGAATTCTCTTTTCTGATTCTCTGTTCAATTTTATTCTGCTCTATGTTTGACTTTCCTTGGACATCACTTGGGCAATTGCTGCCATCCTCTTTAAATTCATGGAGCTGTTTGGTCTTTACTTCTTTAAACTACTTGAATTCTTTGATGGCATTTATGATTGTTACTTTAAGTTACTTGTCCTTGGGTTTATCTAGGTGATTCTCACTGAAGATCATTTCTACTGGACACATGGGCTTTGGGAGAGGAAAAATACTGTTTGGTCAATTATGTTGTTTGTAGTTTTATGATATTAACTGGACATGTGGATTTCTTTCCATGGTTGTGTGTCCACATGGAATCCAAAGCTGCTTCAGTCTTGGCTTGCGTGTGGATTGTGGCATTAGATAAGCTTGGGAATATGGCAATGTCATTACTGGGATTATTTCTTGGAGGATTCACAAGAGAAAGCTGATTTATGAGGATCAAGAGGTAGGCATAATAGAGTATGGAAAGTGCAGGAAGGCTTTTAGGACATACTTGAGAAAGCAGGTGTGAGATATGTGCCTCTAATTTATGCCTAGTTGTTCAACAATAACAAGTAATATTTGAAAATTGAAATGACTCAAAAAGAATAATTGATAATATACTACTTATATTTTCTTTTTATCCTTCAATTTTCTATAACTACATCAATGCTCAAGTTTAAAGAATCCTGAAAAATCCATGTTTTTATGTGGTATTTCAATATAAGGATTTCTATTTTATTACCATCTTTGATAAGAATAGCTTGTTGTAATCTTTTTAGACATTTAGTGTAATGTGATTAAAGAACTTCTTTTATTCCAGATTTTCAACGTACATGCACATGTGTGCAAGCACACAAACACACACACACACACACAATTTTAGAATCATAATAACTGTTTTATATGATATAATTATTATGTTCATTTTCTCAAATTTAGCACCTGATGCTGGCTGTAGAAATGTGAAGTAGGAATTCAGCTGACTATAGCAAAAGCTATCCCTGGAAGAAGCCAAGGGCCTTTCCAGAGGACAAGGCAAAGGCTTAAAAAGTATTAGTGTTACTGACTTTTGAATATTAGTCGTTTCCTGCTATGAGTTTCTTGTGTGCTCTTGTAGCTTTTCCATTCCTAGAACCATGTGTTTGATCATCCATTGGGAAAAATTTCCTCTATACAAATAAAGTATTTGGATATATCTCCAAACTGTGCTAAAAGCAGTCACACAGCCAGACCCCAAATTTCAGGGCTTTCTGTAGTTATCATCATTAGCAACATCTGGCCAGGACCTTCTCTGGACAAGAGTATTTATCTAAGATACTTCCCAGGCTTTCTAAGAATGGATGGCAGACAGATAAGCATCCAGACTATCTGTTAGTGAAGGCCTGGTTGATGTGCTAATTAAGCTTAACCCTCCTCTCCTCCAAGTGTTTTCTCTAATTCTAGATCTCTCTTTAATAATTATCCCAGAACTAAAGGGCTTTTACTTACCAGGTACATCTAGCTGTGATGCTGGTTGCCTAGCTACCCAGCAAACTTGCCCTGCCCAACCAGAAAGCTGTGGAACCAGAGAACTGTGGATTGTATGTGTATTTAGACTATACTGGAGAGAGACAAAGGAGAGGATTAGAAGAGAGGACTAGAGGAATGAGATGGAAGATGGGGAAGAACAAGATGAAAAAGAAGGAGATGGGAAGAACTAAGGAGAAGGGAAAGAACTGGATGGGGAAGAATGAGAGAGAGAGAACTTAGAAGAATACAGAGAGGAAATTAGATTGGAGAAGAGCTAAGATGGGAAAGAACTAAATGGATGAGAACCTAGATGGGGCAGAACTAGATGAAGGAATTAAGATAGCACACAGAGGGAACAGTATAAAAATGTAGAGAGGAATCAGACAAGAAAGTAGCTAAATAAGAGAGTAGAATAGAAGCTGTGTAGAGAGAAAAGTGACTCAGAAGAATAAAGTGAATGGACCAAAGAGTTTTGTGTATGTAGATTTATTCGAGAATTTCTTAGATTAATTAATCCACTGGTGGTAGCATCTCTTCCAGAATTCTGGGAGAAGTCTATAGAGGGGCTGGACTCCAATAATCTTCATTAAGCATCATAACAGTTTTCCAGATATACTTATGAGTCAGCAAAATAGCGTTCTGTAATACTACTTATTATAGTATTCCATTAGCTTTTTTTTTTTCAAGAAATTTTCCAAAATACTGAGTGTTCAAATGGGAAAAATACTACCTAACATTTATCTCTTTTTCCTTGGATCTCCCAACTTGGCAAATTATTTTAATCATTTTTCTATTCAAATTGTGAGCCTCTGATACAGAATAGAAAATGGAGATCATAGACAAAAGAGTCATGAATGTTTTGCCTTAGCTATTTCACACAATTCCATGCCAACTTTATAAAAATTATCACAGAGATCATGACATTCTGCAAAACAGTGATCACAGCTTGCTCTGAACTTCTGTCAGCATTTAAAGTGTACATTTCGACATGCATTTAGTGTAGAGTTCTTTAACAAACACACTAAAATGACCATTCAACTTTTAATCAAAAGTTAAGCATGAGGCCCTAACCGTAGCTGAGGTAGAATCTAATGGCCTTCTGTCCACGCCTCTCTCTCATAATCAATTCTGTATCAGAGGCTCACAACATGGATATATTAAACAACAACAACAACATCAACAGGAAACAAAATAATAGGCAATGTCCTGATCAGTATGAGTTAAACATGAATAGCATCTGATGCAGACTAGATCATGAAGGAGATGCTGGCACAAAAGGATTATGAATACAAGCAGGAGAGACTGCATAGAATACTCTGTGTTTGCCCAGCCAATACTTACTCCCAAATCTCATTTTACATATAAATTTAAGAGAAATTTTGTTGTAATGTATCAATTTCTTCTACATTTTCTAACATATTTCCAGTGCCTAGCTTCTAATATGCCCTTACTAACTATTACTGAGTGAATATTAAACTATCTTGCTGTGGAGGGGGACCAGAAGGTGTATTTTCAGGTTTAGAGTGATGAGGATGAATGGGTGCCATAATACGGGGAAAGGCAGGTTTCTTATTAACTTGCATCGTTTGTTTTTATTCCAACTGTCTGCTTTAAAATCTAGTAGTTCAACTACGTCAACAAGGCAGATAAAATTAACCTTCTAGAAAATATTTCTAGGTATATTAATCACTTTTCTATTACTGCAATAATACAACATGACCAAAAGCAACTTACAGAAGGAATATTCATTTGGACTTACAGTTCCAGAGGGATGAGAGTCCATTGTGGTGGGAAAGCATGGCAGCAAATTGCATGCAGGGCAGCAGGAATAAGGAGATGGGAACTACATCTCAATTGTGAGCATGAAACAGAGAGTGAGAGAAAGAGAGTAAAATGGAGGTGGAGTCAGACCACAAACTGTCAAACCTGCTTAAATGACATACTGTCTCCAGCAAGGCTCTTCCTCCTAAGCCTCCCCAAACATAGCCACCAACTGGGTGCCAGTGTTCAAGTATCTGAGTCTATGAGGGATGTTCTCATACAAACCACTGCACTAGACATTAGTCCCCAAATAACTTCTCTTCCCTTCCCTTCTTTCACTCCTCCAAAGCATCCAATACTACCTCTGACCCTCCCCAAAGATTCATTGCAATCATGTGAAAAATAATATCTCCTGAGTCCCTCCAACCACAGTCCCCCAACTACTCCCTCCCATTCCCTCCATGAACTGTTCTTCTAAGGATGTTTACTTTGCTGTTCTGTCAAGTTGTAGCTGTTCTGCCCATAGCCATTTTACTACTGGATTTCTGGAAGAGAATTTGCTTTCTCATTGTGGGGTCTGGATCATATTCTTTTCTTCCTAAAAACCTACGTCTTTGAGTCATATCTCAGTAGAGCATTATCAAGTACTACCCCTCACTGTTAGTGTCACATACCCAGCATCTAAAGACTCCTCCTCATTTGGGGATGTTTTTAGCCTCCTGACTCATTGCCACTATTCCCAAAATAATCCTGTCTTACATTTGTAGTGGTGACTGTTCATATAGATCATCCTTCCAGCATCCTGTATGCAAGTTACTTGAAATGATCTTCATGAAACATTCATTTTTTTCTCACTCTCTTCCTTGGCCAACCCCTGACTCTGCCATAATCAATGCTAGTCCCTGCCTTATACCAGTCTTATGCATCATATTTCCCACCCAACTTTCACTTCCTCTACCTTCAGCTCATTTCATTAGAAGCCCAGCTCCAACTGCCTTACAAATCTCAGGTTCTCCAGTTTCAACAGTAAGCTTTCCCTGACGGCTGCCATTAGATGTAATAGCTAATTTTGGTTATCAGTATGACATACCTGGAAAGAAGGAGGGAACCTCAAATGAAGAACTATTTGCACCAGTTGGACATGTGGGTTTTCTTGATTTCTAATTGATGTTATAGGGTCCAGTCCATTGTTGATAGTGACATCTGTAGCCCAATGAGCTTTAAAAAAAAAAGATAACTGAACATTATCATGGGAGCAAGCCAGTAAGCCAAGTTCCTTATGGCTTCCGAATCTGTTACTTGAGTTCCTGCCCTGACTTTTCCAGGTGATGGACTGCTACCTGGAAGTGTAAATCAAAATCAATCTCTTATTCCTCGTCTTATATTGTTCATGGTGCTTATCAAAGCAACAGAAAGAAAACGGTAAGAATAGAATGTCAGCTAATATATAATATGTGTATGAGTCACTTCCTCATGTGCGTGCTCAACTCTTGTGCTCTCTTACTTTACTGTACTTTTTGAGAACTTTACAGCATGAGATCATCTGCCTCCTCATTACTTACATCACCACAATGAACACAGCTAAAGAAATGAACTCAATCGTGGAGACAGAATTGACCCTCTAATTTCATCATGGGCAATTTCAGTTGTAGCCCTGAGTGACTCATGACAATTGTGTTGTATTTCCCTTGATTTTGTACACTCCCATTTTATGATTTTTCTCTCCAAATCCCAAGTACCACTTACCCATTTTTGTTCTCCATTTCTTATTCACTGAGAAAAATCAGACTTTAGAATAGAACTCTGCAGACTCCCACAGTCACATCCATTCACTCTTCAGCATCTGCACCCACATACTCCGTGTTCCTGCTGTTCACATATGAGCACACTATGAGCTGTGATCCTATCGAAGGCCAACCCTCCATCTGTGCATAGACTCTGCCACCTCCCACTCACACAGGATCTACTTCAGTAAGCCCCTGCCTTTGACATAATAACTTCAATTGATTTTCTCGTCCTTACTCTTCCAACTTCTGCTCCATTTCTTTGTTCTCATAACAGCAAGGATATCTAAAAGATAAGTCTAAAAATTTTTAAAACTCCAAAAGATCATACAAGGGAAAGAAAATGTTAGTATCTTAAAAGTAGTTTTGATTTTCAAAAATGGAACACTACATTTACAGTCCATAAACTTAATTATAATAAAATACTGTGTTTCATGATGTCACTGTCAAGAAGATATGATGACAAGCCACAAACTGGAAGGCACTGTTTTCAAAAGACACATCTGATAAAACCCTGTTGCCTTCAATATATGTGAAACTCAAATTCAACACAGAAACAGAGGAGCCTAACCAAGGAGGGAACAAATGATCTGTCTTAGTTATTTTTCTATTATTGTTAAGAATCACCGTGATTAAGGCAACTTATAAAAGAAAGCATTTAATGAGGGTCATGCTCGTTGCTTTAGAGCATGAGTCTATGACATTATGGTCGGAAGCATGGCAACAGGAAAGGAAGCATGGTACTGGAGAAGTAGCTGAGAGCTTATGTATGTTTCACAACCATGAGACAGAAGGCAGAGACAGACAGACAGACAGACAGAGATAAAGACAGAGATCTAGAGAGGCTAACTGGGAATGGTTTGGGCTTTTTAAACCTCCATGTCCACCCAGAGTAACGTACCTCCTCCAACAAGTCGTGGAGAAAGTGTTGATGTCAGTGGGTGCCTGGGTTGGGGAGGAGTGATGAACAGGCAGAGAACAGACAGCACCGAAGGCCACCAGCGTGTATTCACATTCTTTTCCTTAACATTTTGCCTATTTTTTTTCTAAATTTAACTACATTTTAAAAATACTATATAGTACACTATCCAGGTATAAGTTAAACACATGTATCAACAAAGTGATTTATTATGTATTTATTCTGAATACATATGAATTATTTTTAGATTTTGATACCTATGGTGGAGTATCACTACTGTCGGTCACCAGTGTTCTCATCTCACTGCCAATAAGCACAAGTAGCAGCCATTGCTCAACCTTCTCCACACTCTAACTCCCACTTTGTAGTAGAAAATAAGCCTTATGTTTTTTATTGTTAATTTGCAATAGATACACGGTTTCTACACCAAAAGGTTATTTTCATTGGTATCAGTTTCTCGCCAGATATCAGCTAGTAAACAAGGATTCATTTCAAGTTTCCCTTGCCACTGTGTGTGTCCAGTTAGAAATCTTTTACAACGAAATCTGATAAGGAAAGGATGCACCTTTAGCCTGAGTACTAAGATGTGCATGCATGCCTGCTTCCTACGTTTTCACCTTCCAAAGAGCATTCAGGATGTGGCAACTTTGCTGAAGCCACAAAATAGAAAGAATCAGAGGCTATGAATTACCGTTAAAAGGAAAACTCATTTACTGATTGTGGTGATAATGTGTTCCCCAAAATATTGTGTACCCTAATAAACTTATCTGGGATCAGAGAATAGAACAGCCACTACATATAGAGGTCAAAAAATAGTGGCACACACACCTTTAATCCTATCACTTGGGAAGCAGAGATCTACCTGGATCTCTGTGAGTTTAAAGGCACACTGGAAACAGCCAGGCATGGTGACTCACACCTTTAATCCCAGGAAGAGAGCCTTTAATCCCAGGAAGTGATGGCAGAAAGCAGAAAGGTATATAAGGCATGAAAACAAGGTACTAGGCTGGTGAAGCTTTTAGGCTTTTGAGTAGCAGTTCAGCTGAGATCCATTTGGATGAGGTTACAGAGGCCTCCAGTCTGAGGAAACAGGATCAGCTGAGGAATTGGCAAGGTGAGGAAGCTGTGGCTTGTTCTGTCTCTCTGATCTTCCAGCATTCACCCCAATACTTGGCTCCAGGTTTGTTTTTCTTAATAAGACTCTTTAAGATTCATGCTACACTGATGATAGTCTTTCACACTTCATGAGAAAGAAAAAAGTTGACTTTTTTCATGCTAAGACCATTGAACATCAGTGAGATTCTTTGTTGCTTGTTTTGTTTTAGAAAAGCTAATATCTAAACTAGTATAATACACTCTAAGGAAGTCGTGAGTGGCAAATCAAGCATTCCAAACAGTTTCTTTTTTTAATTTAAGAATCTTTTTATTCATTTTACATACCAACCACAGATCCCCCTCATCCCTCCTACTGCTCTCCTCCAGCCCCCCATCTACTCACTCCCATTCTTTTCTCCAAAAAGATAAGGTTTTCTTACATATCTTTGTGATTTTTCACATAATACTATGAGTGCAAAGCCAACAAGAAGTTAAAAATACCCATCTTGCCTCATTAAAGTTAGTTGAATATAATTTTAGTTTTTCTAAAAATATATCAGTTTTCTGTTCCTTGGTATTCCTAAATTCAGGAAATTTATTTCACCTTTGTTTTCCATATAAAATGAAAAGTAACACTACATACTCGTTTTATAATAAAAACATATTGTTTGCCAAACTTAGAAGCTATGATTATGATATTCTAACAGCAATGCAGGTTTCAAAATGAGATTATTAGTAAAACTGGTCTAACGCATGCTTCATTTCATTCATAGAATTCACTGTGAACAAGTCTGCCACTCTCTCAGAAAGCAGGAGGATAAACTGACTTTTGAGAACTCTTCAAGATTCAAGTTGTAACCACAGATGTTTTTTTTAAAAAAAAAACAATCCTAATTTATTTCTTAATTTAAAAGATAGTCTACTTATCTGCCTTCATTTGCTGCATAATGATTTTGAAATGTCAAAGCATGGTCCTGAAAATACAATCACGTCCCTGAATAAGTCTTCAAAAACAGTCCTCCTTTCTGTGATCCTGCCTGGTGGTGGTTGGGTGAGGGGATGCATAGTTGAGCTGTGTGCAAAGGCTGATACAATGTAGAGTATGAAGGAACTATCCCGTTAGAGTATTGAGACAATATATCTTCAACTGTGGGCTCAACAATTACAACCAATTCAAGAGTCCTTTGAAGGTTTCAGGAGAGGTGCTTAGCAATAGTGTGTGTTCAGAAATCTGTGCTGCTCCAAGCATGATTAAATAAAATAAAGAGACTAATTGAAAATGGTATAGAAGGCAAGTCCTTTTTGTAATACATTTTGTAATAATGCTACTCTTAAATGAAATTGATCAATAGATCTTAACAAGATTTTCAATCCACTAAATTAAGAATTTAATATGTTGTTATGCATCACATAGCTTTCAAATACCTTTTTTTTGGGGGGGGGGGTTGAGACAGTGTTTCTCTGTGTAGTTTTGGTGCCTGTCCTGGATCTCACTCTGTAGACCAGGCTGGCCTTGAACTCACAGAGATCTGCCTGGCTCTGCCTCCCGAATGCTGGGGTTAAAGGCATGCACTATCACTGCCTGGCAACTCAAATACCTATTTTTGCCTTTGCATTTTACTAGAAGATTCCACATGACTGATGTTCTGCTATAAGTGAATAAGGGACCAGAGTTTGGGACTAATGGCTGTTGCTTTTTCCCCCTCACTTTTATTTTCCTTTGTTTTCACTCACTCTGCTCCCCACAATTCCTATGAACTGCCACTGATCATTTTGTTGTTTGCAATTATATGCAGCCTTTGAGCATAATCTTGATTTTTTATTGAAGATCTGGCCAGTCAACAGTGTACTTTGTTTATGTTTTGTGTAAATGATAATTATTTGTAGTATTTGTATGTATAAGATTGCTGATTAAGACTTTTGCTTAAAATACTTCTGAAGTATTAATATTGAAGACTTTAAAATCTATATTGAAAACTCAACATCCTAGAAAATATGTCTGACTTTCCATTAAGAAACTAAATGGCACTAGGTGATATAAAGGTGGTAAAATACTTGCATAGGATGCACAAGGCTCAGAAATCCATCCCAGTAACATACACATAAAGATACTATAAATGTCTGTGTTCATGCATGTAATTATTCACTTTTCTTTTAGTTTCATATGTGTGTGTGCATATATATATATATATATATGTGTGTGTGTGTGTGTGTGTGTGTGTGTGTGTGTGTGTGTGTATGTGTGTGTGTGTGTGTGTGTGTGTGTGTGTGTGTGTGTGTGTGTGTGTGTGTGCTGTATGTATATATAGATTATTTGCATCAAGGTATATATATACCCACAGTCATAAATGCATCTACCAAAATGGAGATTAAAGACATGTAAAAGTATTGTTTGCATTGACATTATGACCAAG